AGCAGCTGCATTGCTGCTCACGCCCACATGGAACTGCGGCTCCGCTGCCCCACGCACCCTTAGGGGGCGGTGTCGGGGGGAGCGAGGAGCAACGTCAGGGCTCCCTGCATCCAGGTCACGTTCCCTGCCTGCTCTGGGTAAGGAGAGCAGCAGCTCCTGATGTTCGCCTCACAGCACAGCCCAGGTGGGGAACGAGCCCTGGTTGTGTGTGTGTGTGAGAGAGAAAATTGTCTCTCCCATACACACAGAGTGTGTTGGTGCTTGCGAGAGTGTGTGTGCGACCGAGTGAGTAGGAGCGCGCTGTCTCTTTAAGAAAGCACTCCGGATCAGGAGCCTGCAGGCTTGTTCAGACACAAGCAGCTGTCTTGGGAGCCAGAGAGGCAGCAGCATGGGCAGATTCCCCCCTGCCCTGTCACCCCAGCTCAGTGGAGACCAGGTGCATGGGCAGGAGGAGGGGGACACCCCGACATCAGTCTTGCCCCCCTTTCCCCGCACAGCAAACAGGACACTCCCAGTCCCGAGCAGCAGGGGAGCAGGAGGGAGGAGGGGCACCCCTGCTCCAGAGGAGTCACCTGGCTGGTCATCCAACTGCCCCCCTGCAGCCTGGGTCCCTCACCCCTCTCCAGACGCTGCTGCTCACCCAATCAGCCCAGCTACTGCAGGTCAGGTGGGACTCAGCAAACCCTGCACCCGGCGCCCTCTTTGGCAGGCTGCCCTGGGCCACCGGCCCCGTGGCCAAGTTAATGTGCAACCTAAGAATGTGCCGTGGGCCTGGGGAAAAACAAACCTTTGTGGAAGGGGAGGAAACGCTCCGATCCCCTGGTTAACCTGGAGCTCACGATTGTCAAGCTCACAGGGGGACGGGTGGAGGCCACTCACCTTTCTGCCTGGAGCAACTCTTGGTGCTGCTCTGAAAGGGATGAAGAGGACACAGATACACGTGGTTAGAAAGATCCTGGCCATGCAAGCAATTCACAAGGTTTTTGGGAGGCAGACAAAGTGAAGGAGGCGCCGTTCTCTACGGCACTGGACAATGCACTCACTGGCTGGCCGTCGTATGTGGGAAATGGCTGGGCGATCACAGCTCTCTTGTTTAGAGCACCCAAGGGCTCTAGCTAGTTCAGCATGCAGCTGCCTGCCCACCAGGTGATGTTAACTGCAGGGTAGGGTATACTCCCAGGGACTTCACTGGGAGCAGAGTTAGGCCAGCCCTGAGCCTACCATTTGCAAGGATGAAGATGAGGGTCCTGTTAAGTTATTTGCCTCAGGCATCCTGCAGCAGCAAGTTCCACAAGTTAACCACACCCAAAGTTAAAGATTTTTCCCCTCTCATCTCAGTTTTACATTTGTTGCCTTTTAAATTTCTAATGGCTTTCCTTCTGGTCTTATAGGGCAGGGGCATTAGGAGCCCACGTGGCCTTCTCTATCCCATCCACATTTATATTAGTCTTGTGTGCTGCATTAGAGGCCTCAGCCACCTCAGGCCCAGGGGGTTGTCGCTGTACGGACACACAGGAAGAGACTGGCCTAGGCTCGGTCGCTCTCCTCTCACCTTGTTTGGAAGAGCGGGAGATTCTGGTCCCCAACTTCTGCTCCCAATTCCGTTCTCTGGGGACTCCTTCGATCCGAGTTCCAAGATGCTGGGTCTGGCTGGAGCGACAGCAACGGGGGAGCTGCGTCCTTCAAATCCTGCCCCCACAGCTTGGCTCTCCAACGTAGGGGCTGCTGAAGCGTCTGCAAAGATCAAACCGGTCAGGGGGACGCCAACACCTCTGAGCCACGTGGCGATTTGTATTTCACTTGCACGGAGAGGTCAGACAGCGGGTTAAAAATTTAGGGCCAGATCCCCTGCTGGCCCCACTAAAGCCTTTATTCTGTAACACGAGCGCCATTCCAGGTGCTCAAGCCCAGAGGTTTGTAAGGGGCCTACCCTTTCAGGCTTGAAGCACTGTATGATCGATGCCACATTTTACCCGATCACTGTAGTCTCAACCCACATCCCCCACCCCATGGCCATGCAAACCAAACAAGCTCTGGGGGAAGCTGGCCCTCCAGGATCAACGTTACCACATGCTCTGCATGTGCCCTACATGGAGCGCCTTTGCACATATCGCACAGTGGATAATCTCTCAGGAGATCGCAAAGGGCTCTGGGAACCTTAGTCGATGAAAGTTTCAGAAGAGCCCTGCAAGGAGGGTACTATCAGCACTGTTTTGCACATGGGGAAACCGAGGCACGGAGCTGTTAAGGGACCTGCTTAAAGTCACACAGTGAGTCAGCAGCCAAGCCAGGAAGAGACGCCAGATACCCAGGCCTCCGCTCTGCGCAGTAGGCGGCACTCTTTAGACCTGCCCTGACTCCAGTCGGCTTGGTCCCTTTCCTGACTTACTTATATTACAGTAGCACGAAGAGGATCAGATCGGGCCTCAAATGTGCATGGCGCTGTACGGGAGGCAGACAGAGCGTCTGGGGCAGGGAGTTTATAACAGGAGTCCCAGTCACAGGGGCTGACATTTTTCCCTGGTGGGTGCTCCATCCCCGCTCCGCCCTCAGCTCCCGCCTCTTCTCCATCCCTCCCACCCCCACCCAAGGCACCCCCTCCCTCTCCCAGCTGCTCCCTGCTCTGCTGGCAGCACTGAGACCCTGCCGAACAGCTGTGGCTGGTGGGTGTTGAGCACCCCCTATTCCCCCCCCCCCACGGGTGCTTGAGCCTCAGAACACCCACGGAGTCAGCACCTATGGTCCCGGTGTTGCTCTGCCCAGGACTCTCAGCCAAGTATCTGCCCACAATCCCGTCCCACTAGCCTGCAACAAGCAGCGCTCACCCCAGCGTGGAAAGCCTTTCAGAGGAGGGCTTGCTGCTTTCCACAGGATGCGGAGGGCATCTGCTCTCTCCTACCTTCAGTGGGGAGTCGCTGTAGGAAGTCCCTGGTCTCCTCTCCGGGGTGGCTAGAGTCGAACGCCACCTCTTCGTCAGTGGCGAGATCCAGCGCAGAGTCCAGCCCGGCGATCACGCTTCAGGGGAGGAGAAACCGCTAACTAGCACTTGACAGCAAACTAACCCTGTAGCATGTTTGCTATTCAGCAGATCGCGCCGCCCTGCAAGCCCCAGCGGTGTGTGAGTGGGAGCGTTTCATCAGAGTTCAGTTCAGCAAAGAAACGCCTGTCAGTGCTGGTCACGTGGGCTGTTTTTACCTTTGGCACCACACGGGCGATCTAGGAGATGATTCTGCATCGTTTTCCTCTCCCACGCAAAACGTTACTTCATGGAAAAGTCAGTGGGGCAAAACAACTGTGAGACTCCAGACAGGGGTGGCTCCAGGCACCAGCGCAGCAAGCGCATGCCTGGGGCAGCAAGCTGCGGGGGGCAGCCTGCTGGTTGCTGTGAGGGCGGTGTGCCTGCGGGAGGTCCGCCGGTCCCACGGCTTCGGTGGTAATTCGGCGGCGGGGGACGCTGAAGGCGTGGCATCGGCGGACCTCCTGCAGGCATGCCGCCGAAAGCCGCCTGACTGCCGTGCTTGGGGC